GGGTGCTCTATTTTACTGTCCTAATTGTGGAGTAGCAAACAACATAGCTAATCTTGGGATGTTCCACTGAATATTTTAACCAATTGACTCTGCAGCCTCATTGTAGGAGAAAGTTCTTACTGATCAAAAAGATACAATTTCATTTCAATATGAGATTTGTTTAGTTAGTAGATTATAGACATTCTGCTTCTGTGTTAATACTGTACAGTCTCTTTATATTGTAAAAATTTTCATTCTTTATTCCCAGTTTCCTGTCCTTCCCAGAATTATGTCATCTGACAGCCATCCTAGAAGGCATTCTCATGAGGACCAGGGATTCCGATGCCATTCCTCCACGCGGGATTACAGAAAATGCCCAGGGGATGGGTCATTTGGGAAGCCATTGGAATCAAAAAGAAGATCCCATTCCACAGTTCAAGAATTTTCAGATTCCTTTGAACAGCAACTATGCTTTAGAACCAAACGCTCTGTCTCTTTGGTATGTAACAGAGCTACTGAATATTTAGGCAGCTTTAGAAAAGGAAATCCAAAGGCTTCATCCTCTTCAAGTCTGAAGAGAACAAATCTAACTTCATTTACACCTTGGTGATGAGATCTTTGAAAAATGACACTCAGTTTAAGATAGCCTAGATGAACAAAATTTTTTAAATTGTCATATTTATTGAAGACATCTGGGGTAGGAAGAATTCCTGGAAGACCATACGGGGAATGTTTTTGTTACCAAGGTCTTCTGGTTCTTTGAGTCTGCTTCTATCAACCTTATTATAAATAATTGTGACTCATTCTCCTTTCACTATTAGAAGTAGAGAAAAACTGCCTCTACTGCACATCTCCTTTCATATTTAAGTCACTAGCAAATAGTCTATGATGGTGTTGTGTTTCCCTGTACTTTTACAAAACACACTGAAGGAACTCTCTAGACATTCTCCAGCAAGTATCCAGGAGTAAGAGTGGTCCTGGTGCTCACAGTGGCCTCGTTGGTAGCCTTAAGTAAAGTACAAGGGAGAGATAGGCATGAAATGGAGGCAAGAACAGAATCTTCACTGATGCCAAACTTGCTACATAAAGTAATAAGCTAGAGATCAATTAATTTGGGGGCAGTTTTTCAATTCTGCAACATGCTCACTAAGTGGCCTTGAGTAAAATACTTTTTTTCTTGGTAGGTCTTTAATTTTTTGCTTTATTTTGCAAAACAGAAATAATAATATGTTGCTGCCATGTAGGAGGCAAAGCAAATATTTGAACCTAAGTGTATTGACTCCTGGTTCTTGAGCTCGACTCTGTGAATGCACAGGCGAAGACACTCAGGTGCATTCTGCTTTATTGTCCATCTGAGCACGGTGCTCCCTACCTAGCAGCATGGCTGTTGTGACGGTCACTGTACATCTTTGCCTTTGAGGTAACACCTCACTTTTCCCCAGAGTGACTCTGTGTATATATGATTCACCTACAGTAAGCTGGTTTATCCACCTGATCACAAGAAATAATAAGGAAGGCAGAATAGTGAACAGCTGTCACTTACTGTATCTAAACCTCATTATTAAGAATTCCTGTTTTGGGCCGGCCCGGTGGCGCACTGCTACAGTGCGCTGCTTGGGAGCATGGTGGCGCTCCCGCCGAGGGTTCGGATCCCACATACAGACCAGCCGCTCACTGGCTGAGCGGGGTGCGGGAGCAACAGCGAGGGTTGCGATCCCGTTGCCGGTCCTGGTCCGGTACAGGCGCGACACTGAGGGTTGCGATCCGTTGCCGGTCATGAAAAAAGACAAAAAGGGAAAAAAAAAAAGAATTCCTGTTTTGTCTTTTCTTTATATGGTTTCAGATATAGAGAAATGTTGCAAGAATAGTATGAAGAATTCCTATACACCCTTCATCTAGATTCCTTCCAAATGTTAACATGTTCCCATATCTGCCTATCCCCTCTCTCCTTCCCATCCTTAAACAAAGGCACAAGAGCATTCTCTTACATAATGCAATACAATAATGAAACTTGGGAAATTAGTACTGATACAATACTATTATATCTAACCTATAAACCTTATTCATATTTTGCCAGTTGTCCCAATAACATACATAATAGCAAAATTCCAGATCATGTGTTGCAACCAGTTTTTATGTCTCTGTAATCTATTTTATTCTGGAGCGATTTCTCAGTCTTTTCTTGTCTTTCATGACATTGGCATTATCTGAAAAGTAGAGGCCAGTTACTTTTTAGAATAACCTTCAATTTAGGTTTAAATGATTTCCTCATGGTTATATTTTGATTATGAACTTTTGGCAGAATAAAACAGAAGTGAAAGAATTACTGTTTTAAAACTGACATGTTAATTTTATATGAGTTAATTTTGGAATTTTGATCAGATGAACACAAGTGACGAATCTAATGAAAGTCATCTGGAGGCACGTTTATAGAGTTGGTACAATTTTTAAGTTCCTCTTAACTTGTATCTCAGCTTCATTGTTGGTTTTGCTTTCTCACTTTAATCGATGGACCATTATGGATAGAAACGAAAAAATCTAGGTATAAAAACAATTTAACTTTGTAAAGTAGCTAACACCACTGCAATAACCAGACATCTCTGTCACTCTCAACTTGCAGGGCTCTGTCACGTCCTTGCTCACGTGACTGCCATTCACCACTGCGTATGTTCACTTGATAGACACTCAGAGGTTCCCCAACATTTCTAGTTCAAGTAGGAGAGAAGTAATGATTTTACTTGTCTATTTTTTAAAAAATAAAAGTGGAAATAGATATCATCACCACATTAATCAATGTCATATATTGGTCAGGCGCTCCCTGAACAAAGAAACTATTGAAGCACCCCTTCCCCAATAGTTCCCTATCTTAATGCCCTGTTTATAGTTATTGCACTTACTATTGGTTATTTTCTTGTTTTCTTTTAGGCTTACTTATTGTCTGTCTTCCTCCACCTAGGTGTAATATCTAGGAAGTAGGCTCTCTCTGTGTAGTGCCATATCTCCTGATCCTAGAACAACAGTATACGTTCAATAAATCAGTGAGTAAATGGGGAAACTCCAGAGCAACCTGCTGAGGAATGTTAATCTGGTTGGATGTCATTTCTCAATACTTCATTATTCATACAGCCCTCACATTAAGATTCAGTGCAAACCCTACTACTAATGTAATTTAAGGGAGTGAACACAGGGAGGTTAGAATCATTCTGTGTGTGATCTCACTTTCCTTTTCAAAAAGCACCAGGAAACTATTAACTTCATCATGCTGTGAAATCACATCCCTCAGTACGTCAGAGGTAGTCAAGTCGTGCAGGTTTAGCTTCCTTCCCAGACCGTATGCTGATGACCAGGCCCCTCTAATTCCTTTTCTTTGTGTCTAAAACCTTCAGCTATATTTTAAGTTGAAGCAAATTTATTACTAGAAACTGAGATGTGGAAGTGTGCTAAGTGATAAGGGCTTTTTAAAAATGTCTGCTTGGTTGGAGAAATGTGGAGTGTTTTCAGCTGCTGGCACATATCTACCCTTATTTGATGCTTCTTTTTCAGGGACCTGAAAGCAGGAAGGAGAGAAATGAAAGAAAATGCCTGAAGATGGAGATAATAACCCGCAAGAAAGCAGAGGAAGGAAGGAGCTCCAGGAAAGAACACAGAGAAGCATACATGGCTCCTGTGTGTGAAAAAGGGCCCGAATAGTACTTTGTTTCCACATCACGATTACGGATCATACTGGATTTTTGAGCCCCACCACCATTTCAGGATGTCAGGTGGCAGCTGTAAAAGAGGGTCTGCAGATGCTGAGTGGCTGCAGTGGGCAGTTGTACTGCTGCTCCTTAAAACGGCGTGAATCATGCTCCAACTGCTTCTGGCATCTTAGTTGAGAGTGTAATCTGCTTTCTTGCCCTTTTATGGGAACAAAAAGAATAAAAGGTATTTTAATAGAATAAAGTAATTTTTGAAAATGTAAAAAAAGATATTTAAAGAGCCTCCCACACATCTTCACCAACTCTTTTTCCACCTCAACCTCATGAGTAGTCTTAAATAAAAGTCATTGGTGTGATTCTAAGTGTACTTCCTTATTAGAAATAATTATGTAAGTATGTCTAATGGCCATCATTTAATGAGAACTGGTAATTAACATGCCATGTACTATGCTGAATGCTTCAACGTGTTACCTAAAATAATCATCACCACCCTGGGTGGGACCTTGTATTAGGGTTCTCCAGAGAGACAGAACTAAAAGGATAGATAGATAGATAGATAGATAGATAGATAGATAGATAGATAGATAGATGAGAGGGGATTTATTAGGGGAGTTGGCTCAAGTGATTGTGGAGGCTGAGAAGTCCCATGATGGTCATCTGCAAGCTGGAGAACCAGAGAAGCTGGTAGCATGCCTCAGTCCAAGTCCAAAGGCCTCAGAACCAGGGAAGCCAATGGTGTAACCCTCAGTCTGAGGCTGAGGGCCTGAATACCCAGGTGGGCCCACTGATGCAAGTCCCTGAGTTCAAAGACTGGAGAGACTGGAATTCTGATGTCCAAGGGTAGGAGGAGAAGGGTGTCCCAGCTCCGGGGGGTGGGAGGGGGGGAGAGAGACTCACCTTACCTCTGCCTTTTAGTTTTATCCAGGCCCTCAGCCAATTGTATGGTGCCCACCCACATTGCATGTGGCTCTTCCTTACTCAGTCCACTGATTCAAATGTCACTCTCTTCTGGAAACACCCACATAGACACACCCAGCTATCCGGGTATCCCTTAGTCCAGTCAAGTTGACACAACATTAACCATCACAGACCTATTTTCCTTTTCACTTTTTCGTTGAAGAATCTGAAGTTTAGAATAGTTCTGTAGCTTGTCAGCATGGTGGCAGAGTTACAGCCAGAGCAACATCAGTTTGTTCTGATGCTGGAGCTAATGCTTCTGATGTGAGCCAGGACCTTGATTTCCCTTTAGAAGTGGATCCCAACTTAGTACTTGTATGATGTGATTGTGAATGAGTGAATGTGAATGAGGAAAGCAGGTGTGGGGGAGGTAATAATTTTGATTACATGGGTAGAAACAGATCCTCTGAGGTCAGCTTTATGCTCTGGGTTTTTTTTTTTTTTTTCCTTTTTGTCTTTTTTTTACTGACCGGTAACGGGATCACAACCCTCGGTGTTGCGCCTGCACCGCGCTCAGCCAGTGAGTGGGAACCAGTCTCCACATGGGATCCGAACCCTCGGTGGGAGCGCCGCCGTGCTCCCAAGCGGTGCACTCTCCAGTGCGCCACCGGGCCAGCCCTATGCTCTGGGTTTTAACGGGTTTTAACTTTATGAGACCAACTCCTATCACTATTTTTTCCCTGGGAGAAGGATACTGGAATTCTCTAATACTCTCCCTATTTATACTTTGACTCTGTCTTGGATCTCCAAATGCCCAAAGGCAGCTAGATTCTCCATTTCGTAAAGAAGAAAATCTCCTAGTACTACTACTCATAACTAATACTAAAATTGATTGCTTATGCTAGAAACTAACTTAGACATAGTAGAAAAAAGAAGAAAAGGGGAATGAAAAAATAAGGGAAAAACAGTGGGAGAAAAGTAAAATATCAATGATCTTGACTACCATTCTTTCACTTTTCATATAACCTGTACCTTCATCCATTCTGGATTGATGCTTTCATTTGGCCTTTTTAACACATTATTATGATTTTTCACATATGTAATGAAAGATGACTTCAAACCATTATATAGTGACTTTTGCCTATTAATTGCCACCCCCAAAGGGGAAAATGGGGCCTGACCTGCCATTGAGGTCTGCTTGATGCTGCTCTCATGGCTAAGACACTTGTTTCCCCGCCCTTGCTTTGGCCACTTTTCAGTATTGCCAACAAAATTTTAGATTTGGGGATGGTTCGTTCATATGCTCTGGCCCCTGTAGAAAGGTCTGGGGAGAGATGGCCCACCCATGGAGAAGAGGAGACACCTGGATGGATTTCCCTTGGCTCAATGGCTATTTGGCTGAGTCATTAACCACATCCTACTCCTGCTAGGATACCCACAAAGGTTCTTCTCCCTAGACTCAAAAATGGCAGTACATGGAAAAATTATGATTAGGAATTTTATAATATATTTCACGAAGCTGTAATGTAGTCTATCATCAACTCGCTTCAGGATCACATTACTGGGAGGTCTAGCAGACTCCCTGAAAATGAAGTCTCAAGTTTACTGCTTTTGTTGTATCTCCAAACAATCTTGCCATAATAAAAAATACAGATTGAGAAAAAGAATAAAAATTAAAAATCTGTTAGACTACATACTCAGAGATAGATGTGGTTAATACCTTGGTGTATGTCCTTCCAGAATATTATGTATGAGTACACATGCACATACTTATACATAAGACTTTTTTTTTCCAGTCATGATCTCATTGCAGTGAACAATATGATCATTAACATATTTTTGGATCAATAAAATAGTCTACTGCATAATTTGGATGATTTCTTTCCAATACCTCTCAATGAGGTCAAGTCTCTTCTATCATAAAATCTCTTCCTCCCTATATACCTATACCAATAGACACCATCCTTGATATCTAATAGATATCACCTTAGCTATCTTCTCTTTCACAGAAAACTTCTTGAAGAGCTATCTACATTTCCCCCTCAATTTTCAGACTGCTGCAGTGTGACTTCTATTCTTACTTTCTACAGAAACTGTTACCCATGACCTCCCTGCTGTCAAATCCTGTGAAAACATAGGTCTACTTACCTTGCTTGACTTTCTGGCAATATCTGACATTGCAGACACTCGGACCCTCTTGAGGCTATCTCTTTGGCTGTTGAGACTTACGTTCTCCTGGGTTTCCTTGTAACTCTCTGGTCACTCCTGGTTGGTCCTTGGTGAAGGGTTCTTATACCTTAAAGATTGGTTTTCCCTGGCACTCTGCCTAAGCACTTGTCTCACTCTCCCTGGGGGATCTCAGTCATTCCCATGATGTCAGCCACCTGTGTGCTGATGACACCCAACTCTATCTCCATAGTGCAGACTCTCTCCTGAGAATGCAGCTGTCCCTTGGACATATAATCAGTTGCAGGTTTCACAGGCATCTCAAACTCATCTTTTAAAAGTAAACTACTCTTCCTCGCCCTGTCTGCCCTCCATCTGCTCCTCCTCCTGTATGTTCCCTTTCTCAGTGAATGGTAGTATCATTTACCAGTTGCTCGAGCAAGAATCTGCCTGGGTTTTAAGCCACCTTTACTCCTCTTCTCTCACTCTCCATCCAATTAATCATCAACTTCTGCCTATTTTGCCTCTAAATGTCAGTCAGATCACTTCCCTCCATTCTCATTGCCACTACCTGATTTCAGGCCCTTTATATCTCACCTTGTTTCTGACAAAAGAAACAATAATACTTTAGATGTATTTGGTTAAATAAAATATATTATTAATTTTACATTTTTTTCCTTTTATAGAAGCAGCTACTAGAAAAGTAAAAATTACATGTGTCTTGCACTGTATTTCTATTAGACAGCAGTGATCTATACCCTGACTACCTCTCAAGCCTCTATTTGTATTACCTGAATTTTATTTTTTAAGTTTTTTTTTTTTTCCTTTTTGTCTTTTTTTGTGACCGGCAACGGGATCGCAACCCTCGGTGTTGCGTCCGCACCGCGCTCCACCAGTGAGCAGACCGGTCTCTATATGGGATCCGAACCCTCGGTGGGAGTGCCGCCGCGCTCCCAAACGCTGCACTCCACCAAGTGCGCCACCGGGCTGGCCCTATTTTTTAAGTTTTAACTGAGCTTAAAATGTATTGATATTTAATTATCCCAAGATGTTATTTTGCATTGATTGGCCTGATACTAGTTACAACATTTTAAGTAAAGTTTATTATACCTGACTCTGTCTTCCCTTCTTCTCTCCCTCCTTGGGTCCTTTCCTTCCTTCCTCCCTCTCTTCCTTCTTCCCATCTTTTTCTCTCCATTAAAAATGTTCTTATATCTATTCATATTTTCTCCTGTGCTATAGTATACCTCAAGTAGGTTTTATCATGTAGTGTAATGATTTCTTCATGTCTGTCTTCCCATTTAGGCTGTAAACTCTTAGTGGAAAGAACCATGTCTTAATCATCTTCACAATCCCAGAACCCAATAGGTGCCTCTTATATAGTACTGGCTCAATATACACAGTTTGAGGGTGTGATTCTAAATAACCAGGGCCCTAAAACTTGAATTAATTCTATTTTAGGCAAGACACAGTCATATATTACTCTCTAAGAATAAAAAATTGTTTTCGCACTTAATATTTTCTCCCTAAAAAGGAAACTTTCTTTGCTTATAAAAGCGATATGTGGAACACTTTCAAATAGTGCAGAAACATATAAAATAGAAAGTGACAGTCTCTCAGAAAAGCCAAGAGTTAGAATTACGAGCTTAATAAAGTTCAGCACTACTGTCAAATCACTCTGGTTACTCTACTCTAGGGGGCAGACTTGAATCGACATTTAGACTGGTACTGCCAGACACAGGCCTCAGTGTGTGGCCAATGACAACATCACTATCGTTACTTTCAAATAGAAAGGAAAGGACTGCAGCAACCCTCAGAGGTTGGACTAAACAAATTAAATCTTGAGTTATTTTTACTTATTAATGCATTTAAAGGTACACATGAAAGATGACAAGTTGGTTATCTCCATGGGGCACAGAAGGACAAAGAAGGCTTAAAATACTGTGCAGATGACTTACATTTGGTACAAATTTTAGACTGCAAAATGAAGGACTATACATTTTAATTTTCTGTCTTTGGAGTTAACATCCTATTCTAACCTTAAATTACGTGATTCTCTTTTGGCTGAGTTCATGCTGTAGCTATAGAGCCAGTTTTCATAATTATTGGCTAAGCACAATTCTACCCCCTCTACATGTATGGAGATATGAGGAAAAAAACAATAGTGAACTGTGAAATCCCTCTGTTTCCCCAGCTTGTGCATGCATGGGTGCCCAGCAGCTCTTGAGTGGCTTAGACACCAGTGCTGGGCCACACCTTGCTAGAACAGAATCTGCCTTGGCTTGTGATCTCTGAGTCT